TGATGTTCAATGTTGCTTTTAGTATTAATGTATTTTCGATTTTAAATGTATAATAGTCCTTGTCGAAATTTTTATCTTGAAAAGCAGACAATGTGATACACACACACACACACATGCACACACACTGTTCAAATGTCTGCCTAAATGTGAAAGAACTAAGACTGTGTAGGGGGCAAGGGGGGGCATATATTTTGCCCTCAATTTCTATGCATGTGAGCTCATTCAGCACAGAGTTATGACAAAGGTTTCTTGTCATATTCAACTCAACATGCCAAGAATCCTCCACACACATGCTTGGGTGCTTTGGCAGTGGAGATTGTATGAATGCCTGCACCACCTTCACCATCTTAAATCCTTGTGTTCAGGGGAATGGAGGAACAGGGCTACAAATATTCACAATTCCTCTGTGCTTTCTTTCCATCAGTGTTTCTCAAAATTCTATGCTAATATCCAGGCCACAATCATAATTCTAAAACAATGCTAGATTCCAAGTGCATAACTATTTGTTATTTATGGACCTATATCTCTCCTTTCCACCAAAAAAAGGTGGCTAACATTTACATGCAAAACCTTGGTTAAAATGTAACACGAAGGCCCATGTCCTACATGGGAGCATATGAACCAGAATGGTTTGCATGTGCAGCTCCACACTACTTACAAATTCAGAAGACAGCTTTCAAGCCATAGCAATTTGCTGATGAAAAAGAGGCAAACAGGCAGCTTCCAGCCACTGTTCTACAACCAGGAGAAGAGAAATTATGTCCTGAATCTCCAGCAAGTGGAGGTGGAATGGAACTGCAGGTGGAATGGATGCTGCCTGGTCACTTCCCCACAACCAGTAAATGACTGTGGCAGAATCTCTGGGCTTTGAAAGTTACTGGGGGTGGTGTCTAGATATTACACAAGCAAATAGTGAATAGCTCCTTGAGCAACATAGAAAAAAAGACATATGTGCATGTTATCCTGAGTTACATATGCATGTCACCTAACATAGTGGGATTTGGTTATCTGTGGGCTTGCCATCCACAGATTTAAGCATCCGTGGATTATAAGCCCCCATTGTCCCCAATGGCAGCATGTGCATTTGATTGTGCCACCATTAAGGACAGCCCCCATTGTCCCTAATGTGCACAGCCAAGCCATTATTAGGGACAATGGGACTTCAGGTAAGCCTCCATTGTCCTGAAGTCCTGTTGTCACTAATGGTGGAACGGCCACATGCACGTGCCACCTTAGGGGACAATGGGGTCTGTCCCTAATGGTGGTGTGGTGGTGTGCATGCACCACCTTTGGGGACAACTGGATTTGAGGTCCCAGTTTTTGGTACCCACGGGGAGATGTCCAGAACAGAGGTCCCACTATACCAATGATGGCAAACCTTTTAGGGCCAAGTGCCCAAACTAAGAGGCCTGCCAGCACCGGGTGCCAGGGGTGGGACTTCCACACTCTGGGAGTGGGACCTCCACCTTGTAGAGTGGGACTTCTCTCCACTCTCTGGAGGCAGCTGAAGGCCGGGGACAGCCTGGGAGGGGAGAAGGAGGAACAAGCACATACCTCTTCCTTCTCCTCCTCCTGCACCATCTCCAGCAGCTGAAGGCCAGAGAAGGTTGGGGAGGAAGAAGGCAGCTGAAGGCTGGGAGGGTTGGGAAGAAGGAATAGCAGGTGTGCACATCTTCCTCCCTGCCCTCTATGTGCTGGGGGAAATGGCTTCATAGGTTCACCATCATGGCACTATATAATTAAGCTAAGAATACAACAGTAAAAGACAACACCCAGTCCCTAACTGAACCATTAAATCAGTGCACTATATAAAGATGCCATATGCCGATTGGTATGGGGTAATTGCTACCTCCAACAATGTAACTCAGGGCAGTTTCTAATGAAGTACTTCAGATGAAAGACCCAGAGGTTCAGGTTGCTTAACACATTTGCTCACTCTGGTGTACTTGATCAAAATTATTCCTCCCAATATACTGTACAGTTTTTAAATCCATTGAAAGTTGGTGGGATGGCAAAATGAAGTCTCCAAGCCTACTTTTAAGCCCCTTATTTATTTAAAAAAACATTTGAACTCCAAAATGATCTATTTGCAATGTCTGAAATTTGCCAAAGTTACTTCTGAGTGAAAAATAACACAATTACAGAAGAAGAAGAAAAGCCCTATATTCTCCTTGAACATTAATTTGAGCTGTGTAGGTTCCTAACTCATTTGTCAACTTTATTAATACTTCCACAGTGCAATCTTATGCATGTCTGCTCAAGTACAGCATGTCTGCTTCTGTGTAGTGAGTCAATAGCCATGATTTAGTCAGTTGCACCCGTCTGTGTTGTTCATCATATGCTTGTTAATAGTTGTATTAGATTGAATTTTATTCCTGCAGACATAACCAAGATCCTGTTGAACTGGCAAGGGAACTAACATGTTCAGACTAATGTGAGGAAAGTTGGGGATGTACCCATGCATCTTTTCAGGAGTGCCACAGAGTGCTGTACAACCCACAGGGACACTTGTTCAGGGAGTTCTTAGAGACCTGATTGTGCAAGCTAATAAAAAGACTTTAATCTTGTTTACTTTCTTGTTTACTAATCTTGTTTACTGGTAGCCATATCTTGTTTACTTTCAAAGAAGAAACTCTTAAAGTAAACAAGATATGGCTACCAGTCCTACA